ACGAGTCTAGACCTAGACTCGTCTACGAACGGATCTTCACCTGTCTCGTCCGTGTTGTGCACGTGGTTGGCCTCCGGTTTGAACTCGTCGAGGAGAGCTGCCCATCTCTCGTAGAACTGCACCATGCGAGGCTCCTCGTCTTCGGTGATCCTGTTTGCCTCGTAGATGCGGGTCGAGCGCTCCGCGACCCGTGGGTGCCTACGACGGAAGCCCGCAAGCCAATCTTTCCCCGGACCCTTCTCTGGATCCCAAGGGATCCGCCGACCGTCGTTGCAGAGTCGTCGCACCGCATCTCTGAGGTGAACCCGACCCACAGCCAAGAAGTTGCGAGCAGCAAACAGCAGAATATCTTCCAGCGAATCCTCCTCTTCTTTGCTCAGGATGGTCTCGGCACCAACCTTCGCGTTCATGGCCACCTTGCCACGGCGGCGGTCTTCGATGGACGTACGACCTACCCCAAAGACCCCAGCAGCCTTCCTAACCGACATTCCATCATCTATCGCTGCACAGGCCTTCCGAACCTGCTCCTCGTCCACCTTGCGCCGGGTCATGCTTAGCAAAAATCCCAAGGAAACGACTAAGGTGGCTAGTAGCGGGAGCGGTGGGGGCTCCCTCGGCTGTATCTCGGGGTGGAATGCTCGGCGTGCCACGCTGTGGTGCTCAAACGAGAGCTACGGTTTCGCGGAGCAATTCAAAAAAAGAACCAAGGGGCTCCGTGGATTCTGTGGGGAGATACCCCCCTTTAAAAAAAAGTGGCCTTTAATACCCGGGTGGCCTTTAATACCCGCCGCTACTCTACCCACATATTTAATCTAGAGCAACAAGAACAAAAAGCAGTGAAAACACAGAAAAATGCACAAAACGCCCGACTACCCAACAGTACCCAACACCTTTCGTCTGCACCTTCCCAACATAACATATATGAGACACACAAGACAGCTACCAAACTGATTTGTTGGGCCTGTTACCCACAGGGGAGATGTCCCTATATGCTGTCTGGGAAATCGTAGACACACAGGTAGTTTTCTCTGACGCTATGATTCCATTGTTAATCTGTCTCTGACTCCTTTCTATGATAGAGATGGACTCGTTGTGTCACACTAAGAAAAAAAAAAAATGCGCAGCTCAACGAGGACGGTGAATACCACACAGGGCCGAATCCCGATACAACCACGCACTGCCTTTGCCCGATTCAAGAAATGCATGCCCTACCCCAATATTCCCCAGTCTGAAGAGAGCGAACAGAGTCGAGTGCCACCGCACTTCTAACCATAATAGCAGCATTATTTTCATGGCCCACCCGTTCGTCTTATCGCAATTTTCGCACAACTTTGCGGTGCGACTATGTACGTATACCAATTAGGTTCATTAGGCACAAGGACGGCTAAAGACAAAAGTGGTCTAAACAATGTCTAATCTCGCGAGGAGTAGTTTGGCCCCAATCTCAACATCATCACTGGCTCACGACGCCCTACTACTGGACTTTCCCGCGGCACCACGACACGGAGCTGACACTACTTGTAGATAGAGTAGATACCAACCTCAACGTGCGCATGTGTTGGTCCGACAGACCAGAAGATAGGCGACAGCACCACAACACGCCGCCGCCAAAATGGATGGGCCTGAATAAAAAAAGTAAACAATAGCACAAGTATGTACCACCCAACTGAGCACCACAAGAGTTCACGCCATATTCACACACGCACACAAAGCAACAGCGACGTCTTGTATGGGCCGGTCATTTAGCGCGGTCAATGGAAAAAAGACCATCGCAAAGACACAGGCACGGACACGTTGCTGTTTCAAAAGCACACGCAATACTAATGTGGTACATGCTGGCAATAAAGAACGCACGAACTGACACACATGACAACAACATAGAACAGGACGATTTTACCGTTTAAACCTCGGCAGACGCGTACATTTGTCTGAAGAGCTGCGTCTTCATCTGTTACCGTCCCTGTGTCGAATCCAGAGAGTAGCCTAATCTCCTTCGGCGCCCCTAAATCAAGACCTTAAGAAGCATTTCCAGGTCTTCAGCGCACTGGGACTGACGTATTTTCACAAAGCAGTTATCGGCGCTGCGACAATTTAAGACTATCACATACAACATACAAAATGAACACAGGAGGAAAACGCGTCTGCCAGAAATGAACAGCAGTGTGAAGGTTGGAAAGGTGACGGTCAGGTGTGTCTGTTTCGTTGCCACAGGCGGCTCGCTCGCTTCTCCCCGGCACTGGTGAGAGCGCACATGTAGATGTGGCTCGTGGTTTGGAACTTTGCTTTCTCATCGCTGCTGCTGTTGTTCGTGTTCGAGAACACTACGGCTCTGAAGTAATTCCAGCCGCTCGACCACTCTCCTCGCGGAAGGCCTCGCCTTAGGGTCGCGCTGCCACATGTCTCCGAGTATCTGCTCAAAGAGCGACCGGGGAGGGGGGGGGGGGGG